AACGTCCCACCCGTAGGTCTTCTAAGTCGTAGGTCTTCTAAGCAAATAGGATTTGTTGAAGTGTCACGCCCAATAAGTCTAATCAGAATGGAGGATTCGCTTTAGTGTCTCAACCGTGGGTCTTATGAGCAGACTTGATTTGCTATAGTGTCCCACCCTTTAAGTCGTATGTGGAAGCAGGATTTGCTTTAGTGTCCCAAGCAAAGGTAGTATGATCGGACAGGATTTGCTCTAGTGACCCACCCAATAAATCTTAGAAGGAAGCAAGATTCGCTGCCCGTAGGTCTTATGAGCAAACAGATTTATGTCTGAGTGTCCCATGCCATAATTCTTATAAGGGCATAGGACATAGGATTTGATTTAGTGTCCCAACCATCACAATAAGTCCTGTAACGAAGCAGGATTTTCGTTAGGTCTCGTGATTAGACAGGATTCGCTTTTGTGTCCCAGTCAATAAGTCGTAAAAGGAAGCAGGACATGCTTTAGTGTCCCACCCATAGGTCTCATAAGCAAATTGGGTATGTTTTACTGTCCCACATAATAAGTCTTTTAAGGAAGCAGATTTTGCTTCAGTGTCCCACCCGTAGGTGTTAGGAGCAGACAGAAGTTGCTTCAATATCCCATCTATAGGTCTTACAAGAAAATAGAATTTGTTTTAGTATCCCACGCAATAAGCCAATAAGTCTTATATTGAAGCAGGATACACTTGGGCGCCCCATCCGTAGGTCTCACCAGCAGACAGGATGTACTTCAGTGCCCGTTGTTCGACCCAATAAGTCTTAAAAGGCAACAGGATTTGCTGAAGTTGTCATCTACAAGACTTAGGGCAGCCAGGATTTGCTCTAGTTTCCCACCCAATACGTCTTACAAGGAAGCAGGATTTGCTTTAGTGCCCCACCCATAGGTCTTTAGAATAGACAGGATTTGCTCCAGTGCCCCTTCCATTAATTCTTATATGGAGGTAGGATTCATTTGAGTGTCCCACCTATAGGTCTCATGAGTAGATAAGATTTGAATTAGTGTCGCATCCAATAAGTTATATAAGGAAGCAGGATTTGCTTTAGTGTCCCACCCGTAGGTCTAGGTCTTGACAGCAAATAAGATTCGTTTTAGTATCCCATTCAATAGTTATGGAGAGGAAGCAAGATTCGATTTAGTATCCCGCCCATAGGTCTGATGAGCAGACAGTCTATTTTAGTGTCCCATATAAATAGTCTCATAAGGAAGCAGGATTTACTTCCGTATCCCACCATTAGTATCAGAATGATATAGATAGGATTTATTTTAATACCCCACCTCTTTATTCTTATAAAGAGGCAGAATTTATTTTAGCGCCCCGCCCGTAGCTCTCATGAGCAGTTTAGTGACGCATTCAATAAGTCGAAGCAAGATTTGCTTTGATATCCTATCGATAGGCTCATCAACAGATAAGATCAGCTTCAATGAACCTCCCAATAAATCTTATATGGAAGCAAAATTTGCTATAATTTTTCACCCGTAGGTCTCACAAATAGAAACGACTCGCTTTAATATCCCATCTATAGATTTTATCAATAGATAAAAATTGCTTTAATATCCCTTTCATATCTATTATGAATAGAAAGAAAATGCTTTAATATCCCATATGATAACTCTTATAAGCAAAAAGGATTAATTATAATGGCCCGCCCAAAAAGTCTAATAAAGAAATATGATTTGCTTTAATATCTCGCTCGTAGGTGTTAGCAACAAGCAATATTTACTTTAGTATCCCGCCCAATAAATATTATGAGGAAATAAGATTTGCCTTACTATCCCAACTATAAATCTTATAAATAGATAGAAATTACTATAATATCCCGCCCAATAAATTATAAAATAAAAAAACTCTTTGCCTTAGCATACCACCCATAACTCTTATCAATTAATCAAATTTATTCTAGTTTCATATTTTATGAATCTTATAAGAAAACAATATTTAATTCAACCTCCCACCCGTAGGTCTAATAAATAGAGATAATTTATATTAATTTCTCATCCAATTAATCTAATAAAGAAACAACTATTATTTTAGATTTTAATTTCTTTTCCAACAAATCTTTCAAAATAAAAAAGATTTTTTTTAATATCCCACTCATAAATCTTCTAAATAAGAAAGAATTAATTAAATATCCCGCCAATAAATCTAATAAACAGATAGGCCCATAAATCTTAGAGACATATCTCACCCAGGAAATTTTATAATAAAATAATAATTATCCCTAATATCCCACCTTATAATTCGTCCAAAGAAACAAAATTTATTTCAATATCTTATTATAATACTCCATCTTTTGTATTTCATACTAGATATACTTTTAAAGAAATCGAATTTATTTTAGTAATCCTATCATATATCTCATAAACAAATAAGATTTATTTCGATATCCTTCTCAATATCTTAATTTAATAATTATTAGCCGCTCCCCCTCTTGCTTCCTCCTCCCGCCACATATACAAATATATGATCCCGGTTCTCGATTCACCGACCCCCCCCCCTCCCTCCATTAGTATCCCCAAGCTGAATCTACGTGACTGGGCACGCTTTTTTCCGCACGAGGGCTCACACACCAAGCGGACCCATGCAGGAAATCCAAACCCACACCACACCACAGGGGG